TCTGTGAGTCAGAATCCACTCAACAGCACCCACCACCACCACCACCATATTCCATGAGAGAGAGACAGGACAAAGCTAGAATAATGCTCTTGAGGAGGGGGCGAGGAGATGGCTCCTGTGCACTCTGGGAGAGCTGGTCTTGGGCAAGTTCACCCACTGTCTCAGGTGGGCAGGCAGTGGCTGCAGGCTCAGAGGCAGGTGGACTGGGAGATGAGGTTGGGAGAAGAGGAAGACTATCAACTCTGAGTGAGGGTGGGCTGGAGGTGAGAGAAGACTTTGGAGAGGAGAGGAGAAATGGAATGGCTTTCTAGGCCACTGAGAGAGTGAACAGCACTGGGAAAGTTTTAAGACTGTTGAGTGGTAGGAAGGGCCACTTGAGGTCAGTGGACATGAAGCTCAGTAAGCCACTGATAGCGATGGGGTGCAGGTGGAGAGTAGGTGGAAGGATGAATTTGATTATAGCTGGAACTTTGCCAGGTAGTACAACAGAGGGACAAGTTCTTGGGTGATGCAAACGGTTAAAGCGCTTGGTTGCTAAGAGTAGGTTAGAGGTTCAAGTCTACCTCAGAAGAAAAGCCTGGTGTTCTAGCTCTGAACTATCAGCCATTAGAAACCCTATAAAGCACAGTTCTACTCTGACACACATGGAGGTGTTATGAGTTGGAGCTGACTTGGCAGCAAAACTGGTATTGATTTATGATGGACGGCAAGATGAGCAAGAGTTGAGGTTGGAGCAAGATTTATGATGGACGGCAAGATGAGCAAGAGTTGAGGTTGGAGCAAGGGAGTGGCCAGTGAGGGAACAGGGACTCTCGGGGAAGAGAGAGCATGAAGGGATGAGAGGATAAAGGGTGCTCACCTTGAATGGTTGCAGGTCCCAGTACAGCTGCAGGGTTGGTGGAGTTGGCATAATAGAAGGAGTGAAATAAAAGGAGGAAGTGGTGTCTGGTGTGGCTTGTTTGTAGTGGTTGCAGTTCTTGATAATGACAAAGTCCAGGGCCAATGGGAGAGGGGAGATCAAGGGACTGAGGGGCCAGGCACATTATTTCATCATCTACATGGTGACTGAAATTAATTTGATGCAGGGGCCACCAACCAAAGGACTGAGGACAAAGGAACCCAGAGTCTTCTGTCATTGTTGTTGTTAAGTGCCATCGAGTCGGTACCAACTCATAGCAACCCTATGTGCAACAGAACAAAACACTGCCCGGTCCTGGGCCAACCTCACAATTGTTGCCATGCTTGAGCCCCTTGATGTGCTGCCACTTTGCCAATCCATCTCGCTGGGGGTCTTCCTCTTTTTCTCTGACCCTCCACCTTACCAAACATGATATCCTTCTCCAGTGACTGGT